CACAAGATGCAGGGCTGAGGGGTGCCACTGATTGCTGTGGATACTGTGCATCCATTGCTTCCATAGGGGTTCTTTAGATTGATATAGAGCTTAGTGGCTGACTGGTCAGCTGTTTTTTCAGTGCTTCATTTCTGGACTGTAGAGAAATTGAGGCTTGCTGCCTGGATCCACTCCATCATCTTCCCTTTTTTTCAGTATTTTCATGGTAGCATCTTGTCCTTTGGTTTGTGCAAAGAATTGCTGCAGAGGTACTGCATGGTATATTCTTGTGAGCACATTAAAATATTTATATTAAGTTGATTTTTGTAAGTGGTAAGAGATATATAGGGGTCTAGTTTCATTCTTCCATATGTGGCTATCCAGCACTGTTTATCAAAATTATTATCCTGGGGCCAGGGTTGTGGATCAGTGGCAGAGTGCTTGCCTAGCATGCATGAGGCACTGGGTTCAATCACTGGCACCATATAAAAATAAAAACAAATAAAATAAAAGTATTGTGTCCATCTGTAACTAAAAAGAAGAAAAAAGAAATGATTATTCTTTCTTCAGAGCATATTTTTAGCCTCTGGTTTGAAAATTGTTATGGTTTGGATGTGAGTTGTCCTTGTGTGAGACAGTGAAGAAATGAATGTCGGACTGGTAAGACTTTTAACCAAATAGTGATTTAATCCCCTCGTAGGCATTAACTGAATGGTAGCTGAAGTGGTATGGTATAGCTGGAGGAGGTGGGAATCAGGGTGTGGCTTTGGTGTATGTATTTTATCTGGAGAGTCGAGTCTCTCTCTGCCTCCTGGTCACCATGATGTGAGCTGCTTCCCTTGGCCATCATCTCCTGCCATGGTGTTCAGCCTCACCCCAAGCCCACAGGAATGAAGCTGGCCTTCTGTGGACTAAGGCCTCTGAAACTGTGAGGCCTCAAATAAACTTTTCCTCCTTTAAAATTGTTCTGGTTAGGTCCTTTAGTCACAACAGCAAAAAAGCTGACTAAAACAAAAATTATTTGGCTTCAATTCTAGGTTTTAATTCTAAGCTCTCTATTCTGTTCTCTTGCTCTCAGTGTCTGCTTTTCTGCCAGCATCATGTTGTTTTTATTACTACAGCTTTGTGATATATTTTGAAGTCAAGTAGTTTAATGTCTCCTGCTTTGTTCTGTTTTGTTTAAGATGGCTGTTGCTTTTCGTTTTTTTTTTTTTTTTTTTTTTTGTGTGTGTGTGTGTGTGGTATAAAAAAAGTTGCTAGAAATGAGAGTAGAATGGTTGATCATCAGAACCTGGACAGATTAGAGTGATGGGGTGGGGAAAGGTTGATGAGTGGGAAATTAATTATAATTAGATAGAAATAAGTAATTATGATGTGCTATTTCACAGTAGGATGACTGTAGATAGTGGTAACATATTGTATAATTTAAAAACCTAGAAATAAGATTTTAAATATTTTCACTATAATTTATAAACTTTTGAGGAAACAGATAAGTTTAACCTGGGATATAAACATTATGCAATGTGCCCATGTATTGAAATATCACTTGGTACCTCATAAATATGCACAATTTTTATGTTTTAGTTAAAAATAATAATAAAAAAGAATTCCACCATTCCAGGCTACCATGGGTAATCTCAAAGGGAACAGACTAAAGGTAAGTCTTGCTTAAATGTTCTACCTTGAATTTGTATCAATAGCAAACAATATAGGTTTACTCTGACATTTGAGCCCTAAAACTTTCCAGAGAACTAAATGGAGACTCCAGTAGAGAATATAAACCCTTCTTTGCTTTCTTCAAAGAGACTTTTGTAATCCCAGAAGTGATTTAAAGTGGCATTTCTCATCTGTGTGGGAAGTAGTAGGTCCTAAAAGTTTAACAATACTGTCTCAGAGAACTAATTGTATCCTATTTATTAAGCAATAGCTTATTTTTTAAAAAATAAACTAAATTTTTCTAATTCAATAATACATATTAATTGAAGAAAATCTGGGAAGTTTGGGAAAGCCTAAATGAAGAAATCAAATTCATCCATAATTCGTCATGGTAACTATTATTAGTTTAATATGTTCATAGGCATATGGTAAATAATAGGAAAAATCTGTAATTCTCCTATTGTATTTTCAACACAGAACACTCTGTCAACAATTTACTTCTGACATGAGATAACCAGATATGAATTTTCTCCACATCAAGCAATTTTCTGACTTCACTGGATTGTCCTACAATTTATTTCAATTCTGAACTACCTACATGGAGTTTGCATCAGATCCCACAGGTAAGGGGCTCAGTGCCACAAGATTGTCCCCTACTTCAGATGCCAAAAGCAAATCTGAGCCTCAGGGACTTCTGACCAACTGGCTGCATGTTGAAAGTTCCTTTAGGTATTATGTTTTTTTGAGTTCTTAATATATCCTGGAGGTTAGTTCTCTATCTGATGTGCATATGGTAAAAATTTGCTCCCATTGGGTAAGCTCTGTCTCTACCTCATTGATTGTTTCTTTGGATGACCTTTAATTTATTGATTTCTGATTTATTGATGATTAAATATTTTGATTTATTGATTCTTGATTTTATTTCTTGCACTTTAGGAGTCTTGTTAAGGAAATTGGGGCCTAAACTGGCATGATGAAGATTTTGGCCTTTACAGTGGCCACATCAACCTACTTAATTCTTCTGTTAATTGAACATTGTTTAGAGTGAAAAATTCTCAACAGTTGCATTATGAGCCAGTATACTGAGCATGTCTTTGCATAAAGTTAACAACTCTGAGAATTGATTTCCAAATTTTATTTATTGAAGAAAGTCATAACATCTTTCATGGCATATGTTGCTTTTCTATGTTGTATTTCTTCCTCAATGACATTTAAAAATATTTTTCACTGACAAAAAATGAATCATGTTGTCAAATTTTATTCTCTTCTTTTTAACACTACAAATAGTGATTCCATTTAATCTCAGAATTTGAAACAAAAAGTATATTTTGTAATATCCATGTAAAAGAATTGAATTTTCATGAGTTAACATTCATTTCAACAGATAGTCAAGGCAAATGTTATTAATTATAATAACATTTAGTTAATAATTATTTCAAGTCAGAATTTATTTTCCTGTTCTAAAGTAAACTATGGTTTTCTCAGCCATTGAAATTGTTGCATTTCTATTACTTGTTGTGCCAGGCCATTGTGATCTTAAGTAAAGGAAAGGTTGGATAAGTTTGGGGCCTTGTGTATACACTTGAAGAGAGACATGGATAAGCAAAATTAAAATGACTGTACTTATAGTTATGTCTGTTTAGAGGAACCAATGATACCAGAATGATGCTTATGGGATCTGGGACTCTAGTACTGAAGGTCAAAGTAAAGATAATTGGCAATTATTGAGAGCAAAGTATCATTTTGAACCAAGTGTCACAGATTTCTGACATATCTCTCCATTAAATATTGTCCATTCTAATTTCTATCTCTTGACCATTTTACCTGGGTAGTAGTCATTTGCTCTTCCCAGAGAGTGTGAGCTGGAAGAATTATTGCTGGTTTGCAAGTTATACAATTAAATTGTACTAGCTACTTTGTTTTAATTGCTTCTGAGGGACTTTATCCCAAAATTACTAGGAAGTGAACTTTAAATTACTTTGGGGATTAGAAACATTCTCAAAGCAGCAAACATTTTAAGTTGCTTTGGTGTTCCATTGGCTGATCCTTTAAAGGATCCTCTAGTAGTAAAGAAGACTGTGAAGAGCCCCGGCTTTCATCATTACTGGAAGTCGTTTCTGTTTTGCCCCTGGTTAATTGGTTTTTCCAATGCCAGCAACTTGATTTTAATGAGAACTGGGAAGTAGATAGTTCTTATTTATTCTGCTGAAATTATTGAAGTGGAAATCATGAGACTAGCAATCTTGTAAAAATGCAGGACTTCTGGTTTTGGCATTTTAATATAGAAACACTCCATATTCCAATGTAATGGGGACACAAATAATTATAGAAAATTGCTATATTAAGAATTTTCAAGTGGCCTACTCCTTACTGTCATAAGTATTGCTAAATATGCAGAGAGAAGACCCCAGCTCTGCTGTTAGAGCAGAGGAAGCTGACATCTTTGCAAAGAGGAGGTAATACGCATTTTCTCCTACCCGAAGGTAAAAGAGTAAATCTCTTGTTACTGAAATTTTGTAATTTGTACATTTATGATTGTAGCTTGAGACTGGGCACTAGTGTTTTCCTGAGGTCAATTTATTATTCATTATGTGCATCAGGCAGGACAATATAATGTTTTACAGATACTTCCTGAGTGTTACTCAAAGACAGAAAGAAAAATCGTTCTACCTAACAGTGTTTCTTGTTTTGTTTACCAACATGCTGTAGTTAATATTCTTAGTATGTTGCAGGTACTTATAGTTCCCCCAAATGAAAAACAACCAAAAGTCCTTTTTCAAAAAATACGTCTTCTTTACTATTTGTCCTTTGAGCTCCAAAACTTTTCTGAAACTGAGGTTTAATTACCTTTGGAGCAGGATTTACATATGCTGCTTTGTTTTAATAACTGAAGAGCAGTGATTTTTGTTAAGGATATCATATTGGTTATTCAGAAAAAAACTGTTATGACATACATGATTTTTAAAATGGTCAAATGCTTGTTGGCCAATATTATTTGATACATTTTAGATTTATTTCGAATTATTTGGTCAAAATACTAATGTGACATTACATTAAAGTAATTTTAAATTCATAATGCAAATTAGTTGCATAATTCTAACCCAGTTGCATGTATTCTTAATCTAGTCTCTAAGAAGGACATTTAATTTAGAGCTAAACCTCTTTTATGAGATATGAAAGTCTAACTGATCTTAACTTCAAGGATAGTAATGTATTCTTGTGTTATTTGTATATTCAATTATAGGTCTTTATTGCCCATGAGGGAATCCACTTAAGAATGTAAACAGTTCTTACAGACACTGCTGTAGCAGATCACATGCATTCCAGCCAGTATAGAATTCCTGTCGGTGAAAGAAAATATTAACATGGGAAAATACAATCAATCTTCTGTGACAGAATTTGTCCTGCTGGGGCTTACAGGTTACCCAGAGCTTGAGGCCATTTACTTTGTGCTGGTACTTTGCATGTATCTGGTGATCCTGTTGGGAAATGGAGTCATCATCACTGTTAGTGTCTGTGACTCCCACTTGCACACCCCCATGTACTTTTTCCTCAGTAACTTGTCATTCTTGGACATCTGCTACACTAGTTCTTCTATTCCCTTATTTCTCAGCAGCTTCTTAACTTCAAAGAAAACCATCTCCTTCTCTGGATGTGGAGTGCAAATGTTTCTCTCCTTTGCTATGGGAGCCACAGAGTGTGTCCTTTTAAGTATGATGGCATTTGATCGCTATGTGGCCATCTGTAACCCTCTGAGATACCCCATCATTATGAGCAAGACTTCTTATGTGCCCATGGCTGCTGGGTCCTGGATCGCAGGGGGTGTCAATTCTGTGTTGCAGACTTCACTTGCAATGAAGCTTCCTTTCTGTGGTGATAATGTCATTAATCATTTTACTTGTGAAATCTTGGCGGTATTAAAATTGGCCTGTGCTGATATATCCATTAATATTATTAGCATGGTTGTTGCTAATGTGATTTTCCTTGTGGCCCCAGTACTTTTTATTTTTATATCATATGTTTTCATTCTCTCCACCATCCTGAGGATTCCTTCTGCAGAGGGAAAACGGAAGGCCTTTTCCACGTGCTCCGCCCACCTAACAGTGGTTATTATATTCTATGGGACCATCCTGTTCATGTATGCAAAACCCAAGGCTAAAGACTCTTCAGGGGCTGACAAAGAACAAGTCACAGACAAAATCATTTCGCTCTTCTATGGAGTGGTGACACCCATGCTCAATCCCCTCATCTATAGTTTGAGGAACAAAGATGTGAAGGCAGCTGTGAAGAATATACTGTGTTGCAAACGTTTTTTGGAAGGAATGTAAATGCTACTCCATTTTTTTTAATTGTTTTACTCTAAATGCAGGGGTAATTTTTACTTGGTGGTTCCAAAATAAATATAAGGACTAGTGGTACCACTAATTTTTTAAATTCTTAATTTTTTTGTACCTGATATTTAAATGAAAGAGAAATGTAGGGCTAACCTTTTTCCCTTCACAATAGGTTGAAGAAGAGGAGATACAGAAATTTATGAATAAAAAATTCTCATCCAAATCACCCTCTTTCTCATGGATAATGAAGTTTAGTTTAACTCTGAAATGATGAGTTCTATAATCTTATGTATAGGGAAATAACATTTTAATAACAATCTCTTTTATGTGAATCAGTTTTATAGTCACATCATTCTTAGAAAATCTAGTAGGAGGGGGTCTTGTTAAGGGTCAGAGTACTATATAAATTCAACATAAAGTGACCCATAATGAGATAGATATGGTCATATAGAGGGGATGGAGGAACACTTGAGTATTGGGTACCTGGACTGGACATATGTCATTTTCATTGAAAAATATGAAGCTATATCACCTAGGTCTGATTTCCTTTTGGTTACTATCTGGCAAGCACCCCACCTACCATGAAAAGACACCTGGGGCAATGTCACCTTTTGTTTATCCAGCTGATAGTGAATTTTGGTCTATCTTGTGTTTAAATCAGTGAGCAGTGGTATCTTCAAATAAGAAACATTGTTATTATCTTTTAACATTGTTATTGTTTAATGGCTGAAAAATTAGTTTCTAAAGAATTTGACAAGGTTCTCTAAGAACACAGTGGTGATTTATTAATGATAATTTAGTATAGTTTAACAAATTAGCTATTTCTGCAGTTACATGAATTTCCTGTAGAATAGGAGCTTTCCTTTCATTCATTCAGTTATTTGTTACTTATTTAATCAACCAGTATTTATTGATACCTATATTTTCTCAGGCATTGTGCTAACTATTGAAAAAAATAACACAACTAAACAACCTGCAAAAACAAACAAACAAACAAAAAAAATAGAACACGAGGAACACTTTTTTTTGTTTTTGTTTTTGTTTTTTGGAATATAGACTAACATTAATTGGGGACAAAAACATAAAAAAAAAATTTACCTCTCCCCAGTTGGGTCTTGGGTCTTGATTGGGCTGAGCAGAGTAATGGGTAGACTTGGAGCAATTAATTAATTTATTGAAGTGCTGAAATCAAACCCATTGAGTTACACTCCCAGCCCTACTGGGAGTAATTTAAACGTGCTCATATGCTATGTTCATATGAAAGTATTTGAACCATCTTTGAGAAAGAAAGAAAGGGGTTCAGTGAGAAAGAGGGGACAGTGGAGTGAGGAAGAAAGCAGTGCATACTAGAGATTTCAAAGACAAGAGAATGAGATACTGCAAAAATAGAATTAGGGAAAAAGGAAAAGAATAACTAAATAGAATTTTTGGGAAGTTTAGATGCTGATTTTGTGTGGTCCTACCTCATTAAGTCTTAATAATCTCAATAAAGATGAACAATAGTCTTTAAGACATTTTGTGATGGATTCAGTTTCTTTTTGCAGTTTCAACATTCTAAGACTGGCTATAGATGAGCATAATTGGGGTATGTAACAGACTTAAGGGGGAGTGGTTCTCAATTACAGTGTAGCATGTGAAGAATTTTTGAAGGGAGTATGTAAAATTTCCCTTGAAGTGGGGATTGTGTCCCAGGAAGGAAAGGGCGACTTATGCTTAGCTGAGTTGGGAAATATCTCAAAAGACATTTCAGAAGGACAAGAAAGTAAAAGAGAAATTGTTATAAAGCATCAGAACACTTGTTTTGCCTCATATGCATGCTGACATTTCTCTGAAGGAGAATTAATTCGTTGATTCTGAATTTTGTTTTTGAATCAGGATTTTTCATATGCTGCAAACTGAATTTCCTTCGAAAGAAACATTTACTCCGAAATATTTTTGGAAAATAACATTTTCTAAAAGGTCAACCTACAATATTTGGAAATATTTTAAAGATTTTTATTAAATTTTGAATATGAGTTTGTAGTAACATTGGGGCAAAATACAAACCAAGAAAAGTGATGATATATTAAGCAACAATAGCATATATTGCATTTCACTAGTCACCCACAGTCAAGGTTTTATGAAGAGAAAATATTTAGAATAAATTTACATATTGCTTATGAATCAGAGTCAGTGATTTTTATATTTTTCTGCCAATTGATTATCAGAGAATATTGTACACTTCTATGCTTTTTGTCTTGCCCAGACTATATGACCTTTTCAGTTTGTTTTAATCAGTCTTTTCTTACCTGTTTCCTCCTATGTTTTAAGGTAAGCTGATATTTTACCAGCAGTGTTTGGAATTGTGATTTTGGGGATGGAATGATATATAATATCCACTTTTCTTATTTCAAATACCTGGACTTGTATTTTTTTTTATTTTTTTAAGAGAGAGGGAAAGAGAGAGAGAGAGAGAGAGAGAGAGAGAGAGAGAGAATTTTTTAATATTTATTTTTCAGTTCTCGGCGGACACAACATCTTTGTTTGTATGTGGTGCTGAGGATCGAACCCGGGCAGCATGCATGCCATGTGAGCGCATTACCACTTGAGCCACATCCCCAGACCTGGACTTGTATTTTTACTATCCTTTTTCAATTTTAATTAATTAGTTCATTCAACAGTTAATTACTGCCAACCATTTATTTAACTTGGCATTGGACTTTTTATAATGAAGAGTTAGCCATGGTTCCGACATTGAGAAGATTTCAGGAGCTAACAAATGATTATAGCATAAAAGAAAAACTATGGTAGTAAAGGTAAGGTCAGAGCAGTACAGAGTAAGGAATAACCAACTCGAGGGCAATATTAGAAGGCTTTGCAGAGATTGTGACATTCTACCTGTCCCTTCTGACATTGCTAAGATTTCACTAGGGAAGGAAAGTGACAACACAGAGGAAATAGCATTTGTTATTATTGTCCTTAGGTGTGAAAGAACATGGAGTAATTATAAAACTACATGGTGAATGAACACAGTATGTGTGAAAGTAATGGGAACAAACATGGTCATGAAAAGAAGATGAAATACTTAGCCAGAAATGTAGATTGGAACTAGATAAAGTCCCTGGGTAAAATATAAAAACAATGGTAAATAAGTCAATGTATCAAAGGTTTTCCAAATGGAAGAGGCCAACAAATGTAATTTGCTCAGAAGCCATATGTGTTGGATTTTCTTGGATAAGATTAATTTCATTTTTTTAAGTCTTGACCTTGTAAGTTTACTTGTTTGTACTACTTAGACAACTTATTTCTACATTTTGTGAGATCATTTTCAAAAAGTGATGTAGTTAGATTAATACTAAAATTTCTAACTCAGGCATTGTTTCCACACATATCTTCCTTTCTTTGCTCTGTTTATATTTAAAATTTTGCCTCAAAATATGTCAGCTTATTTTATTCATGAACTCAAAGGTGTCAGTTTCTCATCATTTCTTCCAGCACCATTGTCCACTCATCAGTTTTCTTCATATACCCCAGCACCTCTATATTCCTTAGGTTACAGATAATAGAATTGAACATGAGAGTAACTACACAATAGACCAAGTCTATTAGTTTGTCTGAAGGAGATTTTTGTATGTTCGCTTCATTTATACAAAACATATTTCATAAAACACAATCCCCTCTCTCATGTGGACTGAGCATGCAGAAGAAACCTTTTTACTTCTTCCAGCTGAATTGATTTCAGTATAGCATAGGTGGTAAAAATATAGAAAGCAGAAATTAGCAGTAATGGAGTAACTGAAAACATTCTATTGCCCAACACATACTATCATTCTAGGAAATACATGTGCACACTAGTTTCATTAAAGATACTATTTCAGAAAAATGATCAATGAATGACATTTCTTCCACAAAAGGACATTTGTAATGTTAGTACATTTATGCCAGTTTGTTAAAAAAGCCTAATCCATGAAGAAAAGCTGCCTTCTAAATACAAGGACTCTTATTTATGATGATGGGAAAACTCAGATATTTGCAGATGAACACATAGCAGTCATAAGCCATCACTGCCAAAAGCACAGTATGGACCCCATGAACTGGAAACAGACACATATTACATCCCGTGAAAGAGTCTTTTTCTCTGATAAGAAGTTTATCAGTATTGCAGAGACAACAGGGATGAAACCTAGATGTTCAGAAAGGAGGGGTTATATACTTAGGTAGGAGGAAGCAGAAAACCTAGATGCTGTTCCAGGGAAGGAGTATATGATTCCAATTACATCACTAAACATATGACAGAAAAAAAAATTATTTAATTCTGGGTATTCAGAAAGAATGAGTTCAGGATGAACTCAATTTCAATTGTCCAACTTTTTTTTTTTCATTTTATTTTTCAAATCCAGAGTAATTCAGAAAAGGAAACAGCGTGTGAATTAAATGAGTGATTCCATATCATGTGAATTGGTAATTGAAGTAGGTCAGTCCTATAACTATGCTCTCACTACCTGGAACAGTGATAAAAACAGAGAGATTAGTTCATGAGGTTCTCCTAACTTATGAAGCAATTGAGCTGCTTTTGTAGCTTGCTAAATGTACAACTTCTGTATTCTATTTTCAGAGATTGTGATGCATGAGATTTAAAAGAGGGAAGAACCCTTTGTATTTTTATGTTATGCTTTTGTTGGTGCATTTTAGTTATAAATAATAGTGTGATTTACAATAAATCCCATTTACTGTAATATATTTGTACATGCACATAACATAATTTGGTAAATTTCACCTCCCAGTACCCCTTCTTTCCCTCTCACCTTCTATCCCTCAATTTCCTTCTTTTATTATCTGTTTTTGTTGATTTGATTGATCCATTGCA